AGCCTTCTTTTGTACTTTCTATGTTTCTCCTGTTCTAGGCTTCTTTTTCTCCTTTCTTGCCTATTTTTGGTTGATAATTTTTTTAATCATTCCATTTTCTTTGTGTGTGTGCGTGTGTAACAGTCAGTATATTGCCCTCAGTAGAGTGCTGTGGCATCACAGCTCACAGCAACCTTCAACTCTTCGGCTGGAGTGATTCTCTTGCATCAGCCTCCTGAGTAGCTGGGACTACAGGCACCCACCACAATGCCCAGCTGTTTTATTGTTGTAGTTGTCGTTGTTTAGCAGGCCCAGGCCGGGTTCAAACCCACCTTCCTCAGTGTATATGGCCAGCGCCCCAACCACTGAGTTATGGGCACTGAGCCTTTATCATGCCATTTTCTCCTTTATAGTTAGTTCCTATTCTTTCAGTGGTTACCCTAAAAAATTATGACATGCATACTAAATTACCAAAGTCTAAAATTAAGCAATATCTTTTCTCTTTCTCCCTTCCAGATAAGCTATAATCCTTAGAATATAGTACTTCACATGCATTGTATTATTTTGTTATTGTTATCATGTATTTAAACCTGTAAGTTACTTTTAATACTGTTTTCATATACAATTACCATTTATGGGAGTTAACCCTATATTTACACCTTTTTGTTGTTGTTCTTCTTCTTCTTTTTTAATTTAGTTTGCTGTTTCCATTTTCTTTTTGTTGTTCTTCATTACTTTTTTTTTGAAACAAGGCCCTACTCTATTTCCCTGGGCTAAAGTACAGTGGCATCATCATAGCTCACTGCAACCTCAACCTCCTGGGCTCAAGATATCCTTTGGCTTCAGCCTCCCAAGTAGCTGGGACTTCAAGCATGTGCCACCATGCCCAGGTAATTTCTCTGTTTTTTGTTTTTTGTTTTTGGCCAGCCCCAGATTTGAATCCACCACCTCCGGTATACGGGGCCAGCGCCCTACTCCTTTGAGCCACAGGTGCCGCCCTGCACCTTCTACTTTATATGTGGTATTTGAGAGATGTTTTAACTTTATAACAAGCATACATTTAACTTTCAGTTGCAATTTTTTAAGTACTAGAAGGCTTACTGGGAAAACGGCAGTCTCCTCCCCTAATCTTCAGTCCTACACCTCCCAGCTTGCATTTCCTTAATTGCTTTCTTGCTTCCAAAGATGTGTTATCATCTTTTATCTACTGCCATATTCTTTTTATCCTTTTTTTTTTTTTT